AGCTTTTTGGACCTAAAGTTAAAAACAAACAAACATGTATTGATATGTACTGATATCTCCTGTCTTCTTCCTGACACCGGAGATTTGTTTCTTCTCTTTCTTTAAATTCATAAACAGCACAGCCAGTGTCTAGCTGTGTGGTGACATATTGTTTATGATCTAATAAAGCTTACCTGGAGATCAGAGTGCAAAACTAATCACAGCCATATAGGCCAGTCAATAGTGGCACACACTTTAATCCCAGGATTCAGGAGACAGAGGCAGATGGATCTCTGTGAGTTCAAGGCCACCCAGGACCATCTGAGAATAAATCAGTCTAAAAGAGAAATAGAGCTCATACCTTTAATGCCAGCACTAGAGAGGTATATAAGACAGGAGCAGGGTCTCGGGGCTGGCACTCAAGCTTAGGCAGTTAGTCTCTGGCCACGTTGAGGATAGGATCTCCCCAGCCTTGGTAGAGGTATGAGCTCTCTGGTGACTTGGCTGCTTTGCTTCTCTGATCTTCAGTTTGAATCCCAATATCTGTCTCTGGGTTCTTATTACTTATGTTACATAGCTGTCCAGCTGATCTTGTAGAGTCCAGAGTCCAGTCTGGTCCTCATTGCTTTATTTATTGATTGATTGATTGATTTATTCATTTTGCCATTCCACTGGCTTCTACTCTTATTTACTCTTTACCTAAAATATTAAAATTTTGCTTTGGTTTCCCAAGAAGAGCTCATGCTATATATAAGTAGTACTCTTTTTTTTTTTAACGAGACAGGGTTTCTCTGTATTGTTTTGGAGGCTGTCAGTCCAGCCCGGCCTCGAACTCACAGAGATCCACCTGCCTCTGCCTCTGGAGTGCTGGGATTAAAGGCGTGCGCCACCACCATCCGGCTTATAAGTAGTACTCTTAACACATAAACCCATAGTACAGACTCCAAAGGGAGCTGCTGCTCTTCTTCAGTCTACCCCTCACAAAGAGTTTATGAGACTAGAAGCTGGGTGTTGGTGGCTCACGACTTTAATCCCAGCACTTGGGAGGCAGAGGCAGGCGGATCGCTGTGAGTTCAAGGCCAGCCTGGTCTTCAGAGTGAGTTCCAGGACAGCCTCCAAAACAATACAGAGAAACCCTGTCTCTAAAAACAAAAAGAAAAAAAGAAGAAAAAGAAAGAAAGAGACTAGAAAAGATTCCTTGCTAACTAACTTTCATCAGAAGTGAGCCCTGTTGAGATTTGCTGTCTGTAGTTCACCGTCCCTGCTAGTTCACAGTCACATCCTAAAACATGCATGGTCATCAACTAGGTCAGGCCAGCTGACCCACCTGGGGCAAATCATACAGGTGTCGCTATCCCTATGGGCTTTCACTTCTTTCTTCAAGATTTATTACAGTGTTCTGCCTATATACCAGAAGAGGGCACCAGATTGAATTGTGGTTGGCTGTGAACCAGCATGTGGTAGCTGGGAATTGAACTTAGGACCTCTGGAAGAGCAGTCAGTGCTCTTAACCTTTTGAGCCATCTCTCCAGCCCCTCCTCTTTCACTTCTTCATGCTGTTAACTCAGAGAAAGGTTCCTGCTATGCTTTGGGCCACAGTGGGCTCAAACTTCCAAATTTTCTCTGGTTTTAGTATTCTGTTGCTTGCTTCTTGGTGTCTAGAGCCTGGCTGATACAGATTTTGATATGGCAATGGATGTTTGGAGACTTAGCCTTTCCAGTCACTCTACATATAATAAGGTCTTTCCAATTGGGGTGGGCAGTCTGCTATCAGTAACTGAAGTAACCTTACCGTCTCAGCTAGGACTGACCTTGTTTGTTGTAACAATATTAGTGGCATATTTCTCAGGGTTTACTGAGACATGAAACGATTGCTTGGGCTAGGTTGGGTAGGGGGTACAGTTCAGTTACTAAACTGCTTGCCTAGTATGCATGAAGCCCTAGGTTCTATCCCCAACATGAACATGGTAGTTCCTACCAGTAATCCCAGCACTCAAGAAACAGAGGCTGGAAGATCAGAAGTTCAAGGTCTTCTTTGGGTACTTAGCTAGTGTGAGGCTAACCTGGGAAACACAAGTTCCAGCCTCAAATAAATAAGAAAAGGAAGGAAGGAAGGAAGGAAGGAAGGAAGGAAGGAAGGAAGGAAGGAAGGAAAAGAATCCTAGCACTTGGGGGTAGAAAGGCAAGTTGATCTCTGTGAGTTTGAGGCTGCTATGGTCTACATAGTGAATTCCGGATCAGGTAATGACTATAGTGAGACCCTGTCTCAAAATATGTGTGTGTGTGTGTGTGTGTGTGTGTGTGTGTGTGACTGCCACCAAACCTGACAGTCTGAGTTCAATCCCACAGACCCCCATTGGTAGAAGGAGACAACCAACTCCTGCAAGTTGTCCTCTGACCTCTGCAAGTTCACTGTGCTACTTTGTTTTGTTTTTGTTTTTGTTTCGAGACAGAGTTTCTCTGTATTGTTTTGGAGGCTGTCCTGGCAACCGTTCTGTAGACCCGGCTGGCCTCGAACTCACAGAGATTCACCTGCCTCTGCCTCCCAAGTGATGGGCTTAAAGGCGTGTGCCACCAGTGTGCCACCAATGCCCTGCCTATGCTACTTCTTTTGACCCCAGTAAATAAATAAATGTAACAAAAACTTAGACTAAAAAATGTCTTGGACTGAGAATGTAGCTCAATGGTAGAATGCTTGCCCAGCCTGTAGGAGATGCTGAGATTGGTCCCCAGAACCGTGGGGGAACAAAAAGACATTTTGTGCCTTTATTATAAGATATCTCTATTGAAAGGCATCCTCTGTGTTCTCATTATTCAAACAGGAGACTGAAGTCAGAGAGACCTTAGATAATTATTCTAGTGGGTCATAGCTCTCTTGCCTCACTCCAGAGGCATGCAGCAACCTGCTATGACTACATAGAGAAGACTTCAAAATTCTGCAAAAAAAAAGTAGTCTTCCTTTGTTTCCTTGGAAATAATTTTTCACTTGACATTCCTACTTCAGGGCTTACGGTATAGCTCAGAGGCAGAGCGCTTGTTCAATGTTAACAAGGCCATGGTCTAAGTCTCAGTACTTCAATATATTGAGATCACAAGAAAAGACCTTCATATGCAAAGTTTGTTTGTTTTGTTTTCTCTTACTGGGATTCCTTAAAACTGTCAATGACTGCCCTGTGGTTCAATGGGTAAAAGAGATTTCCCTGCAAGCTTGATGACCTGAATTCAGTCCCCAGAACCCACAGCAGAAGGAAAGAGCTGACTCCCAAAGTCTGTCCTCTGGACCCCACATTCACACTGGACACAAACACACATCTTATACACAATAATATTATAAAGCTGTCAAGATCATCAGAAGGAACCTAAAGACACATCACAACCATTTTTATGCCAACTTGACACAAGCTACAGTCATCAGAGAGGAGGAAACTTCAGTTGAGAAAATGCCTCTATAACATTGAGGTGTAGGCAAGCCTGTAAGGTATTTTATTAATTAGTGGGCCCATTGTGGGTCGGGCCAACCTGTGCTGGTGGTGCTGCTATGAGAAAGCAGGTTGAGCAAGCCAAGAGGAGCAAGTCAGTAAGCAACACTCCTCCATGGCCACTGCATCAACTCCAGGTTCCCAGTTCCTGCACCATCTGAGTTCCTGTCCTGATCTCCTTCGATGAACAGTGATGTGGAAGAATAAGCCAAATCAACCTTTTCCTCCCCAAGTTGCTTTGATCATGGTGTTTCGTCACAACAGTAGTAACCCTAACAAGTGTCTTTGATGGGATTTGGGGTTTTCAGGCAAATAATTTTATTGAATAAAGTTTTTTCGTTTTCTTTTTAGATGTATGTGGGGGTAGGGGGTGTCAATTAAAGGACAAAGGTCAATCAGTGCTCAGGCGTCTTCTGCAGTCTCTCTCCATCTTATTTTTCTGAAAGGCTGTCTCACCGAAGTTGGAGTTCACTGATGGATCAGACTGGAAGTCTCAGGGATCCTGCCAGTGCTGAGGTTACAAACATGCACTGGCCAGCTTCTCAAGGGTTAGTGGGGACCCAAATTCAGGTCCTCATGTTTGTTTGACCCAGCCATCTCCCGAATCCTCTGAACAAGTTCATGTTTCACGAAGGCATCCTCGATTCAGCTACACTGGAATGTGCAGACTCTCAGGAGCCTGTTCCTCAGGAGCCTGCTGCTGGCTGCCGAGCTCCGCTCCCTCGCTGCCTGGGAACCGCTTAGGTTCTCTGGTTTATGCTTCTCCCACCCATGCTTGTTTTTTGTTTAGTGGAAGCACAGGTCACTCACTTCCTTTTTTCCCCGGTATAAATATTTAAGGAAAATATATTTAATGCTATAATTTTCTCTGAGAACACTGCTTCAATGACAGTCCACAAATTTAAATAGTTGTGGTTTTTATCTTTATTCAGTTAAAAATATTTTTTATCTTCCTTGGCCCAGGTTTTTAAAGGTGTTGTTTTTGTTAGCTTCCAGTTATTTGTAAGGGAATTTTCAAATATTTTTCTGTTATCTAATTTAATTTTTTTCATGAATTCATTCTAGATTTATAAGCGTTTGCTTTATTGGTCAGAGTATAATATAATTTGGTAAATGTACAACACTGTCTTAGTGAGAATGTGTTATTACTGGATATGAGGTTGATTAATATTGACGACTTTTCCTGGGTTTGTTTGTTTGTTGTTTTTCTAGACAAGATATCTCGATGCATTCCTACTTGTCCAGTAACTCAATTTGTAGATCAGGCCAGCCTGGAACTCAGAGATCTACATGCCTCTGCCTCCCAAATGTTGAGATTGAAGGCATGTACCAGGCCAGGCTGTGGTGCCACACGTATGCCTTTAATCCTGGTACTCAGGAGGCAGAGGCAGGTGGATCTCTTTGAGTTCAAGGCCAGCCTGGTCTACAGAGCTAATTCCAGGACAGCTAGGGCTGATACACAGAGAAAACCCTGTCTTGAAAATAAAATAAAACAAAACAAAAACAAAAAACCACCATCTGGCCTGGTTTTGTTTTTTGTTTTTAAATATGGAACACTTCATGAATTTTTGTGTCATCCTTGCATAGGGGCCGGGCTAATCTTCTCTGTATTGTTCCAATTTTAATATATGTGCTGCCAAATCAAGCACAACTTTACCTGTTAGAAAATTATTTTGCGGGGCGGTGGTGGCGCACGCCTTTAATCCCAGCACTCAGGAGGCAGAGGCAGGCGGATCTCTGTGAGTTCGAGGCCAGCCTGGTCTACAAAGTGAGTTCAAGGACAGCCTCCAAAGCTACAGAGAAACCCTGTCTCGAAAAACCAAAAAAAAAAAATTATTCTGTTGGGGGCTGGAGAGGTGGCTCAGAGATTAAGAGCACTTACTGTTCTTCCAGAGGTCCTGAGTTCAATTCCCAGCAACCACATGGTGGCTCACAGCCATCTACAAGTCAATCTGGTGCCCTCTTCTGTCAGAACACTGTATAAGCAATAAATATATTTTTAAAAAATTATTCTGTCAATTATCTATAGCAGAGCTAAAATCACTAATATATATTTCTCATTTAAATTTTGTTGTTTTGCTAGGTGTGGGGGCACATTCCTTTAATCTCAGCAACTGGGAGGCAGAGGAAGGTCCATCTTTGAGTTCAAAGCCAGTCTGATGTATATAGTTTCAGACCAGCCAAAGATACCCAGTACCTGGTAAGATCCTGCCTAAAATAATAACAATAATAAAGCCTGGAGAAACAGCTCAACAGTTAAGAGCACTGCTGCTCTTGCAGTGGTACTGCCTTGTTTCCTAGCACCCACATGGTAGATCACAAACATCTTTCACTCTAGTTCCAGGGGATCTAAACCCCTCTTTTGATCTCTATGGGCACCAGGTACACACATGGTACACAGACACAAATGCAGGCAAGTACTCACACACATAAAAATAAATTAATAAATCGAAAAGCTAAAGCATAAGCTGAAACTTGACTTAAGAACTGAATGGCACATAGATATAAATCTGATTGTATGTCTCTTTGGGCTGGGAGTTCCCATGAAATAACAGGGTGGAGATAAAGAATAGGCAGTTGAACAGATACATCTGGTGTTCAAAGAAAGATGAGGACAAAGATATAAAACTGAGATATCAGCACACATGTGAAATTGCATACACAATTCCTTAGGAAAAGACCATACAGGCAGAACATCTGAGCTGGATAATTGGCACTTGGCATCCCATTGCAGATAACTAAAGAGATTTAAAAATCATGAAACATCTTGTAATGTTGGAGGAATTAGAAGCAAGACACGAGCTAGAACTGGGGCCCACAGTGAGCCATTTGGAAGCAAGTTTTTCCTGTATTCTATGCAGACCCTGTAGATATAAATGAGTCACTGCTTATAGAAATCTTCCTGGTCTGCAGGAATGAAGGCTAGAATACAAGTAGCTCTCCAAGGAGGGTGACCCACACTAGATTTTGCATAGGGGCATGAAGAACTGTATTCTGAGAGGGAGGGTATGCACCACAGTCCTTCAGGCCAAGCGGTGATGGAGGAAACCACAAACCTGTGTCCTATAATGCTTACTGCTTTGAGCACTTGGCAGATAATAACCAGAATACTTTGAAGAGGAAGTTAGTATCACTTCAAGCTTGATAACCTGAACTCAGGAAAAGAGACACACAGAAATGAGTCACAAGTCAGAATCATCCAGAAAAACAAGTGACAGGAGACTCCAGAAACTGAAATTACCAGACACAGACTTGGAAAAACAATGATTCTAGAAGTCAGGAATTATAATGAATTATAATACTACGTTTTGTTGGTGGTATATCTTTATTCCCAGCACTCAGCAAGCAGAGGAGCAGAGGCAGGTGGATCTGTTGAGTTTAAGGCAGGCCAGCCTGGTCTACAGAGTGAGTTCCAGGACAGCCAAGGCTACCCAGAGAAACCCACTCTCAAAACAAAACAAAAAGTTATTACCAATTTTAATGGCATTTGTAGATTAATCCCCTACCAAAGAAAATGGAATGGAATTCCAAAATGAAGCAATGAGTAATTTAAAAAATGAAAATAGCTGGGGAGATGGCTTAGTGATTAAGAGCACTGGCTGCTCTTCCAGAGGATCCAGGTTCAATTCCCAACACCCAAATTGCAGCTTACTACTGTCTATAACTCCAGTTTCTGGAGACTGGATACCCTCGCACAGATATACATGCAGGCAAAACACCAATGCACACAAAATAAAAATAAAATGAAAATAATTGGGGGCTGTAGAGATGGCTCAGTAGTTAGGAGCACTGACTAGTCTTCCAGAGAACCCCAGTTCAATTCCCAGCACTCACATGGCAACTCACAACTGTCTGTAACACCCTCACACAGACATACGTGTAGGCAAAACATAAATGCAAATACATGTAAAAATAATTTTTAAAATGAAAATAATGTATATTGATATATTATTTATGATATATTAATTTCATTAACATGGGTTATTACAAATAAAATTTTATGTATTATATAATCATTGTGTATAATTTATTATATTAATGTTAGTATTTTAATAAATTATGTATGTAAGTATACACATACACAACAAGGTCATAAAGAAGAATGATACAGTAATGCACAGCAAGTTTCAGTGAGATTCTAGGTGAAGAAGGATTGGTCTTAGAAAGATGATTTCTAGCCTCCAAAACAATACAGAGAAACCCTGTCTTGTAAAAACCAAAAAAAAAAAAAAAAAAAAAAAAAGAAAGATGATTTCTAGTAGCCCACTGACTCAAGATACTCTACAGAACCAAAGAAGGATAAATAAGAATACTCAATTCCACATTAAAATAGAACTTCAGTGAACCAAGATAGGCTCAATGTAGCCTTAAAAAAATTAACAAATTACTACTGAACTCACCACTGACCTCAAGGACAGAAGACAACAGACTTGAAGGAAAATAAAAGATCTATATTGCCAATAGATATCTACTTAAAGGATGCCCTGTAAGGTGTTCATCATGCAGAAAAGAAAATAATATTGCATGAAAAAAAAAATCAGGCGAGCCAGTGAAGGTGGTCCAGAGAGTATGCAAGCCTGGTGACCTAAATTTAATCCCTGGAACCCACATACAAGTGGGAAGAGAGAGCTGCCACCCACAAAGTTGGCCCTTGGCCCACATGCCCAATGTGGCACATGCACTAGCCTCCAATTATGCACACACACAATAAACAATTTTATTTGTTGGTTATGGTGGTACACACCTTTAATACCAGCACTTGGGAGGCAGAGGCATGTGGCTTTCTGTGAGTTTAAGGCCAGCCTAGTCTACAGAGCAAGTTCCAGGACAGCGAGGTCACACAAAGAAACCCTGTCTTTAAAAACAAAACAAAATAACAAAAAAAGTTTTATTTCTTCATTCATTTGTTTGTTTATTTACTTATTTAGACAGGGCCTCATTATACAGTCCTAAGTGACCTAGAATTCACTATGTAGACCAGGCTGGCCTCAAATTTGTGGTGATCTGCCTGCCTCTGCCACACTATTATTAATACTAAAGGCAGGTACCACCATATCGGCTATGAACAGTTTTTAAAATAAAAATAGCAATAATCAGGAGGCAGAGGCAGGCAGATCTCTGTGAGTTTGAGACCAGCCTGGTCTACAAGAGCTAGTTCCAGGACAGCCTCCAAAGCCACAGAGAAACCCTGTCTCAAAAACCAAACAAAAAAAGAAGAGAAAGAAAGAAACAAAACAGGGTGCTGGAGAGATGGTTCAATTGTTAAGAGCACTGACTGCTCTTCCAGAGGTTCTGAGTTCAATTCCCAGCAACCACATGGTGGCTCACAACCATCTATAATGAGATCTGATGCCCTCTTCTGGCCTGCAGGCATACATGCAGGCAGAACAGTGTATACATAATAAATAAATAAATCTCTAAAAATAATATAAACAAAACAAAAGAAAAATCAGAGGTGTAGAAAGCAATGGAGCTCAAAGAAATAATCATTACATCTGAGACTGGTGGCCCATTCCTTTAATCTCAGCCACTCAGGAAGCTTCCTGAGGCAGAAGGATGGTAAATTCAAAGCTTGCCTAGGCTATAGAGCAAGGTTGAAGCTAGCCTGGCTAATTTAAAGAGTATTTATCTCAAGAAGCAGGGGGGATGGAGAGGGATAATAAATAAGAATAGATATAAATCATAGATTATTATAAATTCATATTGGTTATGAAAACGGGGTTATGCAAAGCAGTATATACTCTTGAGAGCTAAAAGTTACAGAATTGCAGCAGCTGTTAAGACTGAGTAGGTTGGGGTATATATGTGGTAAATGCTGTTAAGCCATTATAGATCTTTGCCCAGAACACTAAAGGTAACAATGTCAGGGTTACTATTTTTATTTTTATTTTTTACTTATTTTGTGTGTAGGAGTGTTTGCCTGTGTAGATGTTCATATACCACAAGCATACAGTATTCAAGGATGCCAGAAGAGGGCCTCAGATGTGGGTACTGGGAATTGAATCATCTTTCCAGTCCCACATTATCAGGTTTTGATACCCACCCCTACCCCAGAAAAGGTTTCTCCATGTAGTCCTGGTTTTTAAAGAGTATGATAACTTTTTTTTTTTTTTTTTTTTTTTTTTTGGTTTTTCGAGACAGGGTTTCTCTGTATTGTTTTGGATCCTGTCCTGGAACTCGCTCGGTAGACCAGGCTGGTCTCGAACTCACAGAGATTCTCCTGCCTCTATCTCCTGAGTGCTGGGATTAAAGGCATGCACCACCAATGCCAGGCAAGATTATGATAATTTCTAAGGTACTCACTAAAAAATGAAAACAATCTTCCCCCCTGCCCAAAACAAAAACAAAAACAAACAAACAAACAAAACCTAGTGTAACCGCGATAAATACCTCCTCACCTCCCCACCTGGATGACCATTATCAAGAAGACCAGCTGTCAAGCCAGCTAGCTGGGAGACTGACACAGGACCACATAAGCTCACATGCTCAAGGACAGATTGGAAAACAAACAAAAACAGCAGACAGAGGTGGCACAGGTCTTTAATCCCTGGGCAGACAGAGGCAGGAGGATCTCTGTGAATTTGAGGTCAGCCTGGTCTACACAGTGAGTTCCAGGACAGGATCTAAAAGCTACACAGAGAAACCCTGT